ACCCGTCATCCTCAGAAGGCGCCTGCAGCCTCACAAAGCGTCTGCAGCACACCAGGCGAACTCATCACTAGGCGCCTGCAGCACACCGCTCATCCTCAGAAGGCGCCTGAAGCCTCACAAAGCGTCTGCAGCACACCAGGCGAACTCATCACAAGGTGCCTGCAGCACACCAGTCATCCTCACAAGGAGCGCCCAGTACACCCGTCATTCTCACAAGGCGCCTGCAGCACACCAGACAGCTTCACAAGGAGCCTGCAGCACACCAGTCATCCTCAGAAAGCGCCAAGCACATCAGGTTGCCTCACAAGGCACCTGCAGCACACTACGCAGCCTCACAAGGCGCCTGCAGCACACCAGTCATCCTCAGAAGACGCCTACAGCACACCAGGCAATCTCACAGGGCGCCTACATCACACACGATATCCTCAAACGGCGATTAAGACAACCACATAAGGCGCCAACAGCACACGATCATCCACCTCGGGTGCCTGGAGCACATCCGTTATCCTCACAAGGCGCCTTCGGCCCATCCGTGATTCACACAAGGCGCCTACACCACTCCGTCCTCCCGAAGATCCTGTAGCACGGTCGTTATCGCGCGTGAGAGCCTGCAGTACATCCTTATTATCTCATTCTGACCGAAAATACCACCAATATAACGAGAATCTAAAGCGCCATCGACTCTAACGAGCACCACATATTTCATAATAAAATTATGAAAAAAGAATGCGAATCAAATGTTAAGTGCATTAATGACAATACGGTTTATTTAATTTTATGTATTATAACAATGGATTTATTGTATAAACAAAACATCAGATTATAGAATTGAAACTTTCTTAATGTAAGGTGACGCACTGTTAAAGCAGTAAATTATTGAACATGAAATAAGAAAAGTACACATTCGAAATGAATTTAATACAAGATAAAGTGTAAATCACCTTTATTTCTACGGAACGGATTTGCACTTTAATAGAATGTGCCGTCGAATATAATGCGCACCACGGTTTTGAGAACTACATTTGGTGAAAAAAGGTGCGCATTGGATTCGCGTAACTATAGTATTTCTCTTTCATTCCAGTCAGGATCCTTTCTGTGCCAGCCCTGATAGGATCTTCTGACTGTGGGAGTAGAGTTTTGCGCTACAATTCAGTTAGAACATTGAAGATCGCGTTTGCACCGAGGTGCAAAGTTGGTTCACATCGTATACGATTCAGCGCTTGACGATACGCAAAAACTCTCTAGTAAACGATGGTTATCATTTTCGTTTCGAACATATCTAAAGGGCCCGGGGCCTTTCAGCTGGACGAGTTTGGCAACACCAAACCACGTGCTCGCTGGCTGTGAACAGTGAAGATCTTCTGGATCGCAGGTATCCAACGGTTCTCTAGACATTAAAAAATAAAGAAGAGACCTCGGTGCAAACGCGATCTTCATCGTTACAACTGAGTTGTAGCGCAAAAAGTCTACTCCCACAATCAGAAGATCCTATCAGGACTGGCATAGAAAGGAATGATTGGAATAAAAGAGAAATATCATATTTACCTCACATTTTTTGGGTAAGAATACGAGGAAGAGGATGGGAACAAGATAAAATAAGATAGGGGATAACAATAAGAAGAAAATGGGATCAAAAGAGGGAACAAAGAAGCAGGAAGAGGAAAGAGTATAAAAAAGAAAGAGAAACAGGATTTGGGACAGATGAAAGAAAATTACAAAGAGAACGAAGAAGAAGAGAAAAACTCATAAGTAGAGCAACATCAGCATTAACATCAACAAGCAAGGGCTCACCAGGTCCGGTGTGGAGACGGCGAGCTCCTTGGGCAGGCGCTGGGGGCGAAGCAGCTGTTGCCAGGGGGCGGGCCGCCCTCCGCCCCCGCTCCCCGCCGCCGTCCCCACCGCCGCCCCCGCCGGCGCCACCTCCACCGCCGGCACCCGTCGGCTGCCGTCTGCAACAGCTGCGACCAGCCGGAAACGCCGTGCCAGCACACACGGAGTAGGGCGGGAAACATAGCACATACTTTCTCGCATTATTTCTAAATGTTCATGACATGGACATTCTTTTAAGAGTTACTTGGAAAAAATACTATATTTTGAGTGTTTTTTGAAATTTTTGAAAAAGAATTTCCATTAACTTTAAGCAGAAGTTACTCGGAACTACTAGTTTTTCAAAAAAAATTGTATTTAATATTTTTTAAATATCTGATTTTTTAGAACTTATTTCATTTATAAAGGTAAAAAATCCTTTGGAAAAAGTAATTTACTGGCTTATTCCTTTATGAAATCCATTTCTTTAATTTTTTGCTCAATTAAATGTCATGTATTCTGATTAATTGTGATTTATTTCCTAACGATTATGTGTGCTGATTATATAGTGCTCTATCACGATCATATCAAGCCACCACACACGTTATGTTTAACAAAAATAGATGGCAATTATTTCCAATATTAATTAATTAATAGTAATTAACGAGTAAATAAAAATCTAATTTAGTTTTTAATTAAATTAACACCAAACACTGTTAAATACTGTATTTAGACAATGAGGAAAAGTGCAATCTGTCCACGTTTTTTTGAACTCTAGGAGTTGATATTCTGTTCATATGTGTCATCGAATATTATAAGATTTTTCTCTTTAATTCAGAGCCATACACGTGCCGAGATAGTCCTTTTATACTAGAAAATCAAATGTTTACAAAAATATTTTTTATACAGTACTACCACCAACACTAATTTTACAGATGACAACATATTTAAAAAGGTTTAAAAATAATAATTTATGACTTGTTTTCAGGGCGCAGTGCCTTCCATGGATAGAGGTCACTTATCAAATTCTTACTTTGATTTTGGGTAAATTCGGCTCTGGCAACATGCACTTTCGACCTAACCACAGGCACCTCAACACATTCGGCATTTGGCAAGAAGAGGAAGTCGAAGAATGTTCGCTTCCTTTGCTGTGTCCTAACGCCCGACACTCTGCGAGTAAGACGAGCACCGAATGTTTGGCGCTCGAAAAAAAGAAGCAATCCAAATTACTCGGAATTCTGCGAGTTGTCGCTCACTAATCGCTAAATACCGAATGTGTGGAGCTGTCTTAAACGGCTGTACTCATTTCGCATTTGAGCAACTGCTCGCCGAACACATTAGCTGCTTGGTATTGTACAAGCAGTTTCCCTGTACTCGCCGAATGTTGGCCTCCTTCGCGTCCAAAACATCGACACGCGATGGGGTAGGGCGAGCACCGAATGTTCGTCGCTCACCAAACAGCAAGCAACCCATCCACACTTCTCGGAATTCGACGAAAAGGCGCTCGCTACGCGTAGAACACCGAATGTGAATAGTTTACTTCAGCCTGCATCCACGCAAGCACGCGTCTCCTCACATCGCGAGAGAGGGCGGTCGGGAGTAGGATATCGTTATAGATGACGACGTTCTCAAAGCATCGATGTTTTTTAGACTCATCGATGTTTTAAACATCCTTGGATAATGCCGATGTTTTCTAACGACGATGTTTTGTGCTCGATGTTTTTACGTTTTCGACATTTTATTTGTAAATAAAAAATCCCAAGTTCACAATTTTGTGAAAGTTAAAATATGAAATAATAAGGAATGGAACCTTCTTCTGCGTACCGGATAATAGACACCTGAGATGACCCTAGGCGCCCACACTTTCTATTTCAGTTTTTTCCATTGTTATTACTAATTTGAATTTTTGTTTTGACATAAACCTTAATTATGGGTTAATAAATATAACCATTGTGAAATTGAGTTTGGTAGCGCACGAATGAATCTTAGAATCTAAATCAACTTTAAAACATAAATGTTTACAAACATAGATGGTTTTCTGTCGATGTATCATTAATATCGATGTAATAATTTTGAACCAGGTGGAAAAACATGGCTAAGCAAGTCCGGCGCATTGATTTTTTCTCGTTTTCCACAGCACAAGTTTACGTCAGGAACCAAGTGCCAACACGTCACAACACCCACACTTGGTTTCAAAAGCCTGACTTGACGCTGGTCTCCATATTGCAAGGAGAGCGAGTGTGTCAAGTGTTGAGTACTATTTTGAAAGTGACATCTACGGACAATTTCAAGTAAAACTAACCGATGAAGGAGTAATTGAAATAAAAAATGCCATATTTTAAAATAAATGCTTCATATACGTTTCGATGACTTGTGACAATATGATAATTTTGGTGTCTGGCTGCATTTTAAAATTCCCGCTAATATACTGACGCTGGCTGGTGCCAGAAGTTTATTGTCTAAAGTCGAAGACGATGCGCAGTAGCTAACCCACGTCTTTCCATCATGATTTTGAAGATTGCAATTGGGCAAGGGGGATGATTTTTTGTCGCTGCCGCATCCCTCCTCGGGCGAGGCTCTCACCTGTGGCGGGGGCGGGGGCGGGGG